CTGTAACCTTCTCGAAAATATCTGCTACAACTGTGGGAGGACTGGCCACATCGCCAAGGACTGTCTGGAGCCTAAACGTGAGAAAGATCAGTGCTGTTACATCTGCGGCCGAATGGGTCATCTGTCTCGCGATTGCACCCATCTAGAAGAGCAGAAATGCTACTCTTGCGGTGAATTTGGGCACTTCCAGAAAGACTGCACCCAAGTTAAGTGTTATCGATGTGGTGAGAATGGACACGTGGCCATCAACTGCAACAAGGGAAGCAAAATGAACTGTTACCGGTGCGGTGGGTTTGGACATTTAGCCCGAGACTGTAAGAACGAGGTTTCCGATTAACGTTTGTCCGTTGGCTTACTCCCCTCCATCCATTTTGTTAATAATGTATTGTTTTCTCTGAAATCAGTTCACTGGCTAAATACTTGGTAGCTTGTGGGTTATCCTCAGGCCAGCCATCTTCAATCAACTACCATGCTGAAGAAGGAAAGGGCTAGGAAAGAAACAACAACAACAAAGAAACAAAAACCCTCAAAAAGTGTTACCCCGCCAGATGTGCTACTTCTAAAATGGATACTACCATGCTACTGTGGATGAATCCAGTTACTGGACGGTCATAGTCATTCTGAGAATTAGACACTTTCTGGGTTCTTCAGTGTATTTTGATTTAACAACTTGCATTAAGAACTACATTGTGTAAGGTTCTGAGGGAAAACTTGAAAACTTTGCCAGTGAACAAATTAGAACAAGTTGAGGAATGCCAGCTTAGAACCTTTTAAAGAATAAAGCATACAATGCGTTAAGAAAGAAGAACATCAAGCAAAAGGATAGAAACAGAGAATCTGCATGTGGAGTGGGAATGAAGAATATGGTTCTCTTTTAAAAACTCAAGAACACCCTGAGGAATGTTCCTCAGAGGTCCATCTGTAATGCAAATAAAGCTGTTTCTAAAAATCTCTTTGACCCGTTCATTTTGATTGTATTGATAGCTTTGCATTATCTGAAATCCGTTCCTCCCTTAGTTTTTGGGTTTTTTTTTTTTCTTTCTTTTTTTTTTTTTCCTCCCTTAGCTTTTCACTATTGTTGCGTTTTTGGTGTTGAGTTGCAGAAGATTAAGCTGCACCTTGCAAAGCCAGCATACCATATTTGAGCACCAGTTTGAGTCCCAGTGGTTCCCCTTGGGATCCAGCTCCCTGCTAATGAAACTGGGAAAGCAGCAGAAGATGGCCCAAGTTCTTGTGTGCCTGACGCCCACATGAGAGATCAGGATGCAGTGTTAGGTCTCCTGGTTGTAGCCTGCACATTGCAGCCCTTAGGAGAGTGAAGAAGTAGATGGAAGATATCTTTCCCTCTTTGACTCTGTTTTCAAATACTTAAAAAAAAATATATTAAATCTTCAAAAAGAAGTAGGGCCAGGCACGATGGTCCAATGGTTAACTCCTCACCTTGCATGTACCGGTGTCCCATATGGGTGCAGGTTCATGTCCCAGCTGCTCCACTTCCCATCCAGCTCCCTGCTTGTGGCCTGGGAAAGCAGTCAAGGATGGCCTAAAGCCCTAGGACTCTGCACCCGCGTGGGAGACGTGCAAAAAGCTCTTAGCTCCTAAATCCTGTCTTCAGATCAGCTCAGCTCCAGCTGTTGCAGCCACTTGAGGAGTGAACCAGCAGATGGAAGATCTTTCTCTATCTCTCCTTCTCTCTGTAATCTGCCTTTCCAATAAAACCCAAATAAATCCAAAAAAAAAAAAAAAAGGGTGGGTGTTGAGGCGCATTAGGTTACACACATGCATTATCAGAGTGCTGATTTGAATACCAACTCTGATTCCAATCCAACTTTTCCGCTAATGGTGTACCCTGAATGGTAGCGGGGGTGGGGTGGGGGCGGAGCCCCGCCACACATGTTAAAAAATAAATATGTAGAGTCAGCATTGTAGCACAGCATGTTAAGCCATAGCTGGTGATACCAGGTCCTATGTCAGAGTATCAGTTCTGGTTCCACTTGTCCCCCTTCTGAGCCAGCTCCCCGTTAATGCATCTGGGAAAACAACCGAAGATGGCCCCCAAGTATTAGGGCTGCTAATGTGAGACATCTAGGCTTTATCCTAGCTCAGTCCCAATCATTGCATTTCTTTGGAAAGTGAGTCACGGAGGGAATAGACTCCCTCTGCCTTTTAGATAAATAAGTAAATCATAGTATTGAGAGACATCTTTGACTCGTCACAGAGTACACAGTGTGACGAAGTTAAGCAGAAAAAAAAATTGTCTAATGTGTACGAGCCACTGGAAAGAGAGAAGCTTTCAGAAAAGAGTATCGTGATTCGACATATGAAAGTGCTGCTTGGGAACCCCACATGCCCTATCAGAGTGCTTATTCCAATTCTAACTGCTCACTTCCAATTCAGCTTCCTGATGGTGTGCCTGGGAAAGCAATGAGTGACAATCCAGCTACCTGTGTTCCTACCACTCATGTGGGAGATGCAGATAGAATTCCTGACTCTTACCTACAGCCTGGCCTAGGCTTGGCTGTTGTGTTTGGGGAGTGAACCAAAAAAATGAAAGATCTCTCTCGCTCTTCCTCTCTTACACTCTACCTTTAAAATAAAATAGATAGGGCCTGGCACAGTAGCCTAACACCTAAGGTCCTCAATTTGCAAATGCCAGAATCCCATATGGGTGCCAGTTCTAATCCTGGCAGCTCCACTTCCTATCCAGCTCCCTGCTTGTGGCCTGTGAAGACGGTCATGGATGGCCCAAACCCTTGGGATCCTATACCTGCGTGGGAGACCTGGAGGAGGCTCCTGGCTGCTGGCTTTGGATTGGTGCAGCTTTGGCCATTGCAGTTGCCTGGGGAGTAAATCAACAGAAGATCTTCCCCTCTGTGTCATTCTCTCTGTAAATCTGCCTTTCCATCAAAAATAAAATAAATCTTTAAAAAAAATTAAAAAGATTAAAATCTTTGGAAATTGTGCATGTACAGACATTGGTAGTAACATTCAGACTTAACATTTAAAAATATTTAATGGGGCCCAGCGCGGTGGCGCAGTGGTTAAGGTCCTCACCTTGAATGCACCCAGAATCCCATATGGGCGCCGGTTCTAATCCCCGGCAGCCCCGCTTCCCTTCCAGCTCCCTGCCTGTGGCCTGGGAAAGCAGTCGAGGACGGCCCAAAGCTTTGGGACCCTGTACCCGCGTGGGAGACCCAGAAGAGGCTCCTGGCTTTGGATCGGCATAGCATCGGCCGTTGTGCTCACTTGGGGAGTGAATCATCAGATGGAAGATCTTCCTCTCTGTCTCTCCTCTCTGTATATCCGCCTTTCCAATAAAAAAATGATAATAATAAAAATAAATAAATAAAAATATTTAATGTAACAAATGCAAACATTAACCTAAGCATTGTTTGAGGCTTCAGTAATCTCCAAAACATCCTCCAATATTCTTCACAGAAGTGAAAATTTAAAAGTTCTGGGAAAATGTATTTTCACAAATTTAGGGATGCTGAGTTTCATATACTGGCATCTGTTTTTTAAAACCAGACCTGAAAAATAGCTGAACTTTATTAAAAACATTAAAAATCAATTTTTAAAAAGGATTTACTTATTTTTATTTGAAAGGCAAATTTTCAGAGGGAAAAAGAGATAGAAAGAGAAGGTCTTAGGCCCAGAGCAAAAGTATAGTGGTTAAAGTTCTCACCTTGAACGTCCCAGGATCCCATAGGGGTGCTGGTTCTAATCCCGGCAGTCCCACTTCCCATCCAGCTCCCTGCTTGTGGTCTGGGAAAGCAGTTGAGGACGGCCCAAAGCCTTGGGACCCTGCACCTGTGTGGGAGGCCTGGAGGAAACTCCTGGCTCCTGGTTTGGATTAGCTCAGCTTCAGCAGTTGTGACCACTTGGGGAGTGAACCATTGGATGGAAGATCTTCCTCTCTGTATATCTGCCTTTCCAGTAAAAAAATTGACCTGAAGCTGGGGGCCAGGAGCTTCCTTGGTGTCTCCCACATGGGTACAGAATGTCAAGAACCATCTTTTGCTGCTTTTCGAGGCAATATGCAAGGAGCTGGATTAGAAGTTGAGCAGCTAGAATACAAACTGGCTCCCATATGGGATGCTGGCACTGCAGGTTAGGACAATCCTTCTAAGCTACCACACAAGTTCCATAAAATCACTTTTAAACTCCAAATAAAACCCGTAGTGGACAGGGTTAACTATTGCCTAAAGAGTAAATTGAAGTTATAATGGGAAAACAGTTATAATGGGAAAACAATGGCAATACTTTTTGCCAAACCTGGGCTTTGATAGAATTTATAGCAATAAGAATAGTGCAGGAAGGACAATCTTTGACTCATAAATTCAAATGGTCAAGAGATGCAACGTATTTTGTAACTGTAGTCACATGCTTACATGATCCTTTGTTAGAGTGGCTATGTAATCCTTTATTCCCATTTTATCAGTCCCAGCCCCCCTCTATTCCCTGCAGGGTCTCACAGACTTCACAGACAGCATTCTTGCCTCATTTACTTTCTCTGTCAAACCCCTCCAACTACTTGAATCTATAATCTCTGTGGGATGCTTGAGGGCTGTTACCAAATCCTCAGATTATTAAGATAATGATAGCAAGCACATTATGTCAATAGTGACTAAAAAGGAATTTTCTGGTGCTGGCCTTATGATGCAGAGGGTTAGGCTACCACTGCAATGTTGACACTTATATGAGCACCAGTTTGAGTCCCAGCTGCTCCACTTCCAATCCAGCTCCCAGTTAATACATTCAGGAAAGCAGCAGAAGATGGCCCAAGTGCCTGGGCCTTGGCAACCACATAGGAGACCCAGATTGAATTTCAGTCTCGTGGTTTCAGCCTGACCCAGCTCTGGCTGTTGCAATCAGAAAAAACAAGATGATGAAAGAAAGACCTCATTTGTCACTCTTATCCTTTTTTTTTTTTTTTTTTTTTGGTCTCTCATCCTTTCAAATAAAGGAATAAAATATTTTTTTAGAAAATATTTTAGAGTGTGCTCGCTTCGGCAGCACATATACTAAAATTGGAACGATACAGAGAAGATTAGCATGGCCCCAGCGCAAGGAAGATATTTTAGAAATCAAAGCTTCTTTTGTATTTAAAAACAAAATAGAGCATCTGTCATAAAATAATTTAAAATAGAGTGAAGAAGGCTTGGGCACAACTAATACTAACATACCAACATTTCATATAGACACATGTAAGAAGATAAAGGGTGACAGGAAGAAAGGTAAGTGAGCCAAGGAACTCTGTGCCCAAAGGGCCACACAGTAGTGGATTGCCTGGGTTTTCATTTTGCCTTGTGTATCCCAGAGGCCAGCTCCAGAAATTTCAGTAAACACTCACAGAAAAGCCCCATGGCAAACGGAGACTCTAAGGTGGACTATGGCAGCCAATGGAGTCCGAAGAGATTTCATCATGATTGGAGTGGCACCATCATCAGCAATACAGAACTGTTGAACTATCAAAACCATTTGAGCAGGACCCTTGGAGCAGGCCCCATGTTGGGGACCCTGGGATGCTTGGGAGCCTGGGAGTGGCTTCTCCTCTTATCTCTCCCCTTCCCCCAGATACAAGAAGGAAAAAAAGAGAATGTTAAAAACAATGGTCACACACCCACTTTCCTCTAGTCCTTGACCCTTCACACACTGATCAAATATGTAAAAATTATCAAAAATAAAATTTATACAATTTAAGAAAAAAAAAAAGAAAGAAAAGTCCCATGGAAGCCTGTTCTTACTGGCCAAAGGAAAGGACAAAGATGCAACTTAGAAAGCTACGCAACCTTTAAACAATAACCACTGTACTCCAACCAAATATCGCAGAAAAAAAACTGTGACCTTGGAGCCATCTCTGTCAGCAAATGCTAGAGGGAAGCCCAGCACAGTGTTCCCCTGAGCCTGCTGAATGTGGTCAGAGGAGGCCTCGCGGGTGCAAAGCGACTCTTTAAAGTGTTTTTCAATGGATGAACTTCAGCCACACTAACTGCTATGGTTTGAATGTCATTGGTCCCCTCTGAAACTATTATTGAAGATTAATCTCCATTATAAGGTATTAAGCTGGTGGTAATTATTTCTAACTAAAATACTTTAGGACATGATTAGAATTAGAAAGGAGGAGCTCAGGGTAGAGATCCCCATGACTGAACACTGGTGGTTTTAAAAGAGAGAAAGCGATTAGAAGACACTTGGCAAGGTCCCTATCTCTTGCTATGCTATATCCTGCCCCACCTTGGGATTCTGCTAGCTTAAAGGCCATCACCATGTGGCCCCTTTGTCTTGGACCTCCTGAATCATGGGCCCAGGTTAACCTCTTAATTTATTTTTAATGGAAAGTCAGATTTACAGAGAGAAGGAAAGACAGAAAGATCTTCTATCCACTGATCCACTCCCCAAGTAGCTACAACAGCCAGAGCTAAGCAAATCTGAAACCAGGAGCCAGGAACTTCTTCCCAGTCTCCCACACGGGTGCAGGATCCCAAGGCTTTGAGCTTCCTCTACTGCTTTTCCAAGTCACAAGCAGGGAGCTGGAAGGGAAACAGAGCAACCAGGACACAACCCAGCACCCATATGGAATCCTGGCACGTGCAAGGCGAGGATTTAACCACTTAGCCTCATGCCAGGCCCTAACCTCTCTTTTTTAAAACTTGCTAAAGGGCCTGCATTGGGTCAGAGGGTGAAGCCACTGCTTGCAATTCTAGCATCTCACATCAGAGCATTGGTTTGAGCCTCATCTATTCCACTTCTGATTCAGCTCCCTGATAACTCACCTGGGAAATCAGCGAATGATGCTATTCCATTTGGAGTACCTGGCTCTTGGCTTCAGCCTAGCCCTGTCTGGAATTTTCTGACAGAAACTAGCAGTTGGAAGATATTTCTCTCTCTTTCTCTCATGCTCTTCTTCTCACTCTCTATTTCTCTCCTCCTTCCTCCCTTCCCATTACTCTGTCTTTCAAGTAAATTTATTTTTAAAAAGTTTAACAGGGCTGGGGGAAGTGGCACTGTGGTATAGCAAAATAAGCCTCTCGCTGCAACATCAGTACCCATATAGATGGTGGTTTCAGTCATAGATGCTCCACTTCTGGTCCAGCTTAAAAAGATGTTCTTCCCTCCATAACTTCTTGAACACTTTGACCCTAAAACTGAGTCCCCTATCGCCAATGTCTTTGACATAGGTTTCTTGTTGTTTCTTGTTTTATTTTAAATCAAGTACGAGTCTCTTTCCTTTAGCTTGCAGATTCTCTGTCTCCCCATTGATGATGGTGAGTCAATTTCTTACTAAAAATTAATTTGTTCAAGTAAGGCATTGATACAAAATAAGGTCAACTGTATAAGACTCTGGGCCACAGGAAACAGAATTCAGTGATTGTCTCTGCAGTTGACATCCTAACACTAGACTCTGCCCGGAAGAGGCTGCACACACAGAAACTCCGGGCCTCAATCAAAGAACCAATCCATCCATAGATCTCAGAAGTGCCAGGCCTCACCTGGACGTCGCAACATCTTCAGAACATGCCACCTATCACCCCCAACCCAAAGGAAGGCCATGAGCTCTACCTTTACTGCCTCAAATAATCTCAGAATGAAGTCTAAAACTCAAGCACACTGCAAAAGAAACTCCTGCTTTCCAGCAGAGAATGGCCCCTGCACCCAGATGGGAGAGCTGAAACTACTAGCTCCAGGCCATTTGCTGTGTGAGTCAGCAAATGGAAGGCCTCTCTGCCTGTTTTTTTTTAAAAACTTTGTAACTCTGCCTTGCAAATAAAAAAAAAAAACAAACCTAAAAAAACAAAACAAAACAAAAAAACCCTTAAAAACTCCTGTTTTCTTTCATCATTCCGGTGCCAGTGTTTGACCTAGCTCCAAGAAACCTGGAGCTGATGTTGGAGGATTCTGTAATAATTTCAGCTTATTTGCCTTTATACAACAAACTATAAATTGGTTTTATTCTTAGAAAAGGAATGAATGAAAATTGATAGTAACTTGGAATTTCCAGTTAAACCTTATAAAATGAGTATTTCAGAAAAATCACGCAAACCAGTAATAATGGGACCTTACAAATGTCCAAACACAGTAGGATCTAAAGGAAAGGAGACATGACAGCAAAATAATTTTAGAATAACAAAAATAATGAAATGAACATGTATAACTGACGTCATTCAGCTGATAAAACTGAATCCCCAAAAAGCTGAAAGAATGACTAAATAATACGATTCATCTTGCATAATTTCTAAGACTAAGAAATTGGCAAGTCTGGGTACTTCCAAAAGCAGGAGTGAAGATGATACTGAACACTAGAGGTTAAAGTTTGTTTAAAATCAGTTATATCTCTTGATCCTCACTTCACTGATCACAGGCAGTCAGCTGCCTTTATCCTGGCAAAAGTTTGTAGAGTTATTCTAAAGAGCATAAAACCAATGTGCAGTCTGAGGTACCCAGGTGTGGTTGAATAGCAGGCTCATCCCAGTCTCTCAGTTTACTGTTGTGCAGACTTGAAACAAGAGAAAGATCAGAAATATTTCATGAGGAATTTGACCATCCCAAAAGATAAGGGTGAAAAGATACTGAAATGGAGGCGTTTCCCAAAGGAATGGAGCAATCAGATCACCCCACAGAGCGAAGAGCGAACTACTAGTTTCTTCCAATCCTGGCTGCTCCAATTCCTATCCATCTCCAGACAGTGTGCCTGAAAACACACAGAGGACTGTCCAAGTGCTTGGGCCCCTGATACCACATGTGAAACCCCAGAGTAAGTTCCATGTTCTCACTTTTAGTCACTTAGGGAGTGTACTAAAAGATAGAAGCTTGCTCGCTCTCTGTCTCTCTTTCCTTTTTTTTTTTCCTATTCTTTCTCTTACTTCATGTTTTTTTCTTTCTGTGTTTCTTACTGGACTGATTAAATAAAAAGATTTATTTATTTGAAAGAGCCACAGGCAGAGAGGGAGAGAGAGAGGCTGATTTTGTTCTCATCCATCAACTGATTGACACCCCAAAATGGCCACAATAGTCAGAGTTGGGCCAAACTAAAATCAGGAGCCTGGAATTCCATGCAGGTCCCCTTCATACTTAGCAGGACCCCAAGCACTTGCCAGGAAGTTGGACCAGAGGCAGAGTAGCCAGGACTTAAACCTGCCCTCAGATATAGGATGTTGGTGTTACAAAGCAAGGTAATCCAGGAACAAATATAATCTGAAATTTTTAAATACTTATTTTATGTATTTGAAATGCAGAATTACAGAAAGACAAGGGAGAGAATCAAAGATCTTCCTTCCACTGGCTCATTCCTCAATGGCCACAAAAGCCAGGACAGAGCTAGACTGAAGCCAGGAGCCAAGAGCTTCATCTGGGTCTTCCAAGTGGGTATTGGGGCCCAAGTACTTATGCCGTCTTCACTACTCTCCGAGGCACATTAGCAAGGATGTAGATAGGAAGTGGAACAAACTGGTCTTGAACAGGTAGCAGAGCAGGTTGTGCCTTAACACATTATACCACAAAGAAGGGTCCAATTTAAAATATTTGATACTATCCAATCCCACATTGTGCTCTGTGATGAAGAGAAAATAGAAAATCACATTCTCTGATGAAATTATTCAGAAAATCTAAGTGCTTGTAACAGATATATCATTGCAAAAACAGTTTAATAAGAGAGAGTGGGAATCTCTTAGGTGTTGTGGCACAGGAGATTTGCATCATCATTTGCAAAGCCAGCGTCCATAACTGAGCACCTGGCTTCAGTCCCAGCTCTTCTGCTTTCAATCTAGGTTCCCTCAAGTGTGCTGGGAAGGTAATAGATGATGCCTTAAGTGCTTGGGTCCCTGTCACCCATGTAGGAAACTTATATGGAGTTCCTGGTGCCTGGCTTCAATTTGGCCCAGACCTGGTTGCTGCAGCCATTTGGTGAGTAAACCAGAGAATGGGAGATCTCTCTTTCTCTCTCTGCCTTTCAAATAAATAAATTAATCTTTTGCTTTTTAAAAATTAATACTGAGAAAGGAATGTTAAAATATAAAACATTGTCAAAAAGGTGTGTATTGTCAGAAGTCTGCACACATTTCTAAAATGTCACATTAAAGAGAAAAGGAAGGGCACGACATGGTGGCT